GGCTGGCGCCCGGCCGGGGCGCCCCGGGCCGCCGCTTCCCGTGTAGACCGAGTTCTACTGAGTAGGGCTTGCTCGCCTCCAGCAGAGCAGACTGTGTGAGACCGCGAATAAATAATTTATTCTGACCCAGGAACGTCATTTGCGACGCCGGAGGCCGCCGGGCCCGTGCGCTGTGGGCGCCCCGCCCCCGGGGTGCTCTCCGCCCCCCAGGGGCCCCGCCCTCAAGGCAGGCGCCCAGCGCTTCCTGCTTGCCGCGTGGGCGCCGGTCGTCTAAATGCCCGAGGATGACCCCGCGCTGGCCGCCCGGCAGCATGGACGGCCAGGGCGGGGGAGCCGCGGGGCCTTGCACAGGCAAAGCCACTGTCCAGGGAGCCTGAGAGCAGGCGGCCTGGCCCTGGCTGCCGGCCTCGGGGGTCATCTCCAGCGTCCTCAGGGCCGCGTCTGGACATCCGGACGGGGCTGGGCTGGGCAGCCACGCGGGTGAGGCTGGCCTGGGGGGTCAGGGCAGGCAGAGGTGGACGCCGGCCCCTCCTGGGCCCAGCCTGGGCGCAGAGGGGGCCTCCAGTCCTGCGTGCCACTCAAGCCCTGGCACTGACCACCGAGCCTGGCGCAGGAGTGCCCACGCGTGTGCTGGAGAAGACCCGGCGCTGGAGCCCGGCCTCGGGGCCGGGGGGCCTCGTTTCTTATAGCCCTGGATGTTGACCGCAGAGTCGGGAGCTGTAGGTCACGTGCACCCAGGAGGGCCCTGGGTGGCCTGTCCCCCACCCGGCCGCCCTGAGTCGGCTGTCCTGGGGCCAGCACGGCCCCTTCTGTTTGCTGGACCCGAGGTGGGGTCCCCGGGGCCAGCCCGGCCGTCAGGTGGGCACCCCGCGGGGTGGGGGCCGCTGGGGGGCCACCCGGTGCCTGGCCCTCAGCCTCACCCCGCTGGTCCGTCCACCCACCACTTCCATCCGTCAGGACGGAGACCCGACGCGGCCTCTTCAGACGCGGCGGCCGCGTGTCTCGGCTAGGGGCCCCAGTAGCACCTTCGTGCTCCCCCACGCAGCCGCGCCTCGAGGGGGCCCTCTCCGGGAGCCGCTGGGCCCCACGTGCCTCAGCCTGCGGGAGCGGCGGGGCCTGCCGGGGTCCGGGCCCAGCCCTCCGTGGGGTCAGCTGCGGCCTGGCCTGCGCGGCGAACGTGTGCAGAAGGTCACTGGGCAGCCCGGTGGCCACGCCGGACCCCTCGTTCGCTGCGGTCGCCCGGCACCGGGGACAGTAGCGGCCGCTCCAGCCCGAGCCGGGCGCCCCCACGCCCCTGCCCCCCGGCCCGGCGAGGCCTCGCTTCGCCCAGACTCACGGTCGCCTGAAGCACAGGTGACAGGCGCCCCTGCACGCCGACACCCCGAGCCCTCCCACCTCGCCGTCTGCCGCCTGAGTGGGGTGGGCCGTGGGGTGCGTGTGCCGGGGCCCTCGCCCCAGGTTTTCCTTTTGCCTTTTCCACCTGGACCCCAAGAGTCGGCGCAGAGGCAGGGCAGCGCCCCAACGCCCCCGCGGGCTGCGCCAGGGGACTTCCCTTCGCGGCCACAGCCGCAGGGCACCGCCTGCTGGAGGCCGCCGACAC